CTGCAAAGTGTGTCTCCAGCGTCTCTCCAAGATTTCACTATAGGAGGGTCGCTTTCTGCTTCCTACCTCTAGCCGCCATCTTGGAATCTCCCCCACCACCTCATTAACAGAGCAACCCCTCTTTTGTTACCTCCCTCACTGGTCAGCACCTGACTCTCTGAGCCAGCCGACATCCCCACAGCTCCAGGGTGCGATCTGAGAGTCAAGTTGCTCTTCCCTGGGCACCCTGGTCAGTGATATGTCATCCTGGGTGTGTGGGCACCTTTGCCTCCTGCCCTTGCCTGGAGTGAGAGAGACAACCCGGGTGTACAGAGTAACATAGGTGGACGGTGAGAGAGCGCCTCTGTGGTGTCAGGGCTGCTGGCCTGGAGCTGTTGTTCTGACCTTGCTGACCCTGTTACACACCCCAGGCTTCTCAGGGCCAATTTCTCTTTTCCTTGGCTAGTCCAAGTCCAATTTCTGAGCTGCTCTGGGAGCTGCCAGTGTCCTAGGGAAAGCAGAGAGTGACTCTCCATGGTGTCATATCACAGTATAGTGGTGTGGACTGTCCAGCCTCACCCTGCCTGTCTCACACATGTTCATATGTTCTGACCTCTGCTGCTGCCTCAGCCCCTCCTGCTCTACCCTGCCACATTCTGCAGGCCTGTTCCACATGGTGGTAGCTCCTGAGCCATTCCTCAGCAATGGGAAGGTGGCCTCTGAGTCCTCGGGGCCTAGGACTTCTCCTGTCCTTCATATCCCACTGCTGTCTTCCTGTTTGGTCCCCTCTCTGGCACTGCCATGCTTTCCTCAGTGTCCCCACGAGGAACACAGTGAACACCTTTTGTACGGAACAGAACAGCCTTCAGCTTTCTGTGGGGAGGAAGAACAGGTTGCATGTGGCATTAGTGACATAGAAGACTGATTGCCAAGACTGGGGCTCTTCATCTGAACAATGTGCTGAGTGAGTCAGGCAGGATTGTAGGACTTGGAAGGAAGCTTCCTTGGACACAGAGAAACAAAGCGTTCAGAGAAAAAGAGCGAGATCCTTTGGGGCTGGGACCACTGTCCACATGGGCAGGAGAACAAAGGGGATTTCGTTGGAGGGCCGTTTTCTGAAGAGCCACTGCAGGAGTGGCACTGCTTTTCCCTGTAAGTCCTCAGGTGGGTCTGGGGAACGCCTGAAGGGGAATGGGAGGAGGGCTGTACTCACTGGCTTCAAGAAGTGCTGTGGAGACTTGTGGTCATTACCAAGGCTCTCTGGGGTGGGGCATGTCTGCTCCAGCTCCCTACTGGGTCCCAGTGCCCTATCCCCACTGTGGGTCTCTGGTGTCCTGCTACCCTTGGCCTCTCCTCACACAGGTTCTGCTAGGTTCCTATACAGATTCCTGGATATCTCCACAGGTCTCAGGATTGAGGGCTAAAACTGTCCCCCTTCCAAGCTGCCTCTGTTCCTTTCCTGATAGCTTCCCCTCTGTGCCTCTCTTAGCAACCCTATCCCCTGCTCAGCAACTGGCCGGGTTCCTTAGTCTCTCTGGCCAACTTTTTTAAGGTGGTGGTAACTGGATCTGGTAACTCTAGCTTTGGAATAACAGCCTCTCTTGGCAAGGGAAAGGACCCTTTACCTGTGTGCTTCAGACTGTGGAGTCCTTCAGCTCAGGGTTGATGGTGCCTCTTGGTTTCTCCCCAGTAACCCTGTGTCTCTTACATTCTGTACTGTCTCTGACCCGCTCCCCAGTGCTGTGCTTTCTAGTCAGATGCCTAGGCACCTGGTGCTGTTGTGGGTCCAGGCCTTTATTCATCTCGAAGTTGGAATCTTATCCTGTCCCTGCTCAGCCAGGGCCCTCAATACTTGTCATAGAAAAGTAAATACATGTCAGCACCCTGGTCTGTCTCAGGGCCTCCTACCTCCAGCAACTTGTGCAGGCCTCCCTCTGAGCCCTCTGTCCAGGCCTGCCGAGGTCCGAATGGCCATGGGACTTCTCAAGGGGCGTTGAGTAGCCCAGTGGTTTGAAAGTGTAAGTGGGTTCAGCGACAGTGGGCTTGTGTACATTGATGGGGGTAGTGTGCACCAAGGCAGGCTTGGACTCCCTTCCTTTAGAAGCCTCTATATGAATAGAGATATCCACGCCACAAATGGAAAACCCACGTCACCAGCATGATGGGCCTTTGTTGTCAGATCCTGGGTGGAGGGAAAGATGAAGTTACTGAGGGTGCCTGGCTCGTCTCTCAGGCTCTCAACCAAGCCCTGCCTTCTCTCAGGCTAAGGGAGGCTTCAGCTCCCTGTGGCCCTCCTGGGCCTGTGGAGGTTTAGTGAAGCCCCAAGTGAGGATGTTGATATCTTCAAAGGGGGAAGAAGAAGGAAGTGATATTTGATTCAGCCAAATCTGTTCATCCCTTTGTTATTCCAGAAGGATGTGGTCATGTGGACTTTCCTTGTTTTATCCCTGTCTTTGGGGAAAGCCAGATGTTGAGTTATTTCATATTGTTTTCTTCAAGTTTGAACTGGTTGTCTGTAATCATGCACTTGCAAGCAAATCCTCTGTAATAGAGTCTATTAATATCTTTCGATTTTTTGCTGTGCTCACTTTTATAGTTTTTTCCCAAATAAGGTTCAACCAGTCTTGCCTTTTAAGGGAAGAAAACAAAGACAGAGCTTCCTAATTATCCTAATAATTATTTTCCATTAAGTCTTGAGAATGTAGGATGTCCTCTTGAATTTTCTAAAAAGAGTTCAAATTCTCTTCTCTTCTTTGAAAAATAATACCCGACATTCCAGCTGGCCAGCTCAGCAGCTCTGGAAGGGAAGGGGCAGCTGAAGTTTACCTCAGGGAGATGGAGCCCACACCACAACTGCACCCAGGTTGCCACAGCAAGTGACACCACCCTTCGAGGCTGGGACACACGGAGCATGAGGTCAGTGATGTGCTTGCAGGAGCAACCGCCACCTCTCTGGTCCTTTCCTCCCTGCAGGAAAGAAACCACAGTGATGATGGAGATGACCAAGAGCCAGGTGCATGTGGGCTCATGTTTGTTTGTCTTCATCTCATTTTTGTGGGAAATCATCTTCATCTCAAATTAAGCCAGCCCATCCACCTTACGATTCACTGTGTCATTGCTGTCCCTGCACCAGTGGCAGTGTATAAGGAAACTAAGGCTAGGGCTTTGTGGTGCTTCACGAGCCACATGCTGTCCTGAGGCTCTGTCTCTGATGGGTGCGGCAGGCTAGCAATTGTTGAGCCTCCCTTGTGAGTTGTCTTTGACCCTTTATGTGCTTTCAAGAGACTCACCTATCGGGTAATCATATTTTGTCACTTAAGTAATTATATGCAACAGCCAGCCATTCTAATGGAACAAACAAGAGCAATTTTTCTGTTCCAGTTGTGATTTTGATAGGCAGAGGAGTGATGGCGGGATGTCTGTTGCCATGGCAACAGAAGCCCGCACAGGCTTCTTCAAGATGCAGTTTATGCCCTTAGCGTGCCATCATTTATCACTGGGCCTGAAGAGATGGAGGTCATGTAATAACAGGTGCTGCTTCCAGGGTGGGGTCTCACCTTTAAGTTTGGTCCAAGGCCCCTCTGAAAATCCAGGGGCTAATAAATAACCATCATTACTCCCTCCCCTGTGCACATCTGCACGAAGGGTGATGTGGCTTCTTATTCAGGCCAGGCTGGACACCCCACCACAGCCATTTCTCCATGTCCTCGTCCTTTCTCTTCTCACTGTTCTTTGAAGGATGTGAAGAAGTTCCGTATCTAAAGGCCAGAAACTCGAAGACCAAATTATAGACCAAAACACAAGATATGCGCAGCTTTGATTGGCACCATCCTGCAGAGCCCTCCTTGTGCCCAGGTTGTCTCTGGGATGAGGCACTGACCCCCTGCCTCCCCAGGAAGTGGGACTGCAGCAGAGCTGTCACTCCTCTGGTTGACTGTCCTTTCTCCTTTGGCAACCGGCTGTGGTTTTTATCTAGCCAGCATGCCTTTAGTATTTCTTCTGGATGTGCTCTGCCTTTCCATCAGAGTTACTGCCACTGGAGTCCACTGGCCCTTCATTGTCAGTCAGTGCACCTATGACCATCCATTTTAATCCTTTGAAATGAGCCACATTTTCAGTTTTATATCTTTGTCTGCTTCATGTGAGCGGTCTTAACGTTTGGAATACATTATTTTAGGGAAACAAAATCAGGATATTGAAAAAGTGCAGGATGTGAAAGCCAGCACAAGATTTAAAATGGCTTAGGGCTGAGAAATCCCACATTTGGGGAAATCTGAAAGGACTTGAGTTGATACACATTGAAGAGCAGGGAACCATACAGTCTTCTGACATGTGAAAATTGTCACAGGGCTCCGGAGTTCCTGCTTCACCAGCCACACAGAAGCCATGCCAAATGAGGAAGTTAGTGACGGCAGGAGAGGCTGGATGGAGTTCTGCCAAGGGGGTACTCAGTGCAGCCTGGGCAGGAGCAACAAGACAGACCTGCTCTTCTGTTTTGGGGGTACCTGTCATTGAAAGGAGCTCTTCTGGGCAGAATATTCTGATTTCAGATCCTATTAGAGGGAGCCAGAATTAGGGGGATTTGGACTTAGGTTAGGTGTGTGCACATGTTTGTGTGCACGTGTATACACACATGAGCATATGCATTATAAACCTGTGTCATCTACTTTTAGGACAAGTGGGTTGTACTGAACCATCAGTAGTGGCTTTCCGAGGGGGTGTGAAAAGATGCAGAACAAGTCTGGAATGGCAAGCTCCACCTCCCTCAGTATTCTCAGTCATTCCATTCTTCTCTTCTCTTTTCTCTCCATATATGTTTCCCAGAACCAGCAGCACAATTTATTCTCCCTTTGACCCTGTTTTTCCTTCTGTTCTGTCCTCCCCTCCCCCCGCCTGCTCCAGCCTCTGTGGCAGGCACCGTCCCTCTGACATGCCGTCATTCAAGTCACATCTGTGACAGGTACGAGCCAGTGTCACTTCCTTGGCTCAGGGTACACTTCTAGGACATGGCCAGGAGTGCTCCTGTGTTACTGTGCTGAGAGGCCTCTGCTCCCCATGCCCAGCCTCCTCATGCAAGGGAGGAACATGGAGGGGACCCAGGTGCCTAGACTGGGATCCCCCTGGCTCAACTCCAGCAGGAGATGGACCAGCTGGACCCCCAGGCTGGGGGCTTAGCACCCTGGGAGGCGGAGGTATGCCTGCAGCACTCAGTGGCTTTCCATAATCCGTTTGATATTTGTATTGCTGATCTTTGTCCCTCTCTCAGCCAGATATACTGCATAGAGAATGCCCACGGACAGCTGGTGCGCGACCTTGACTTCAATCCCAATAAGCAGTACTACTTGGCCAGCTGTGGAGACGACTGCAAGGTGAAGTTCTGGGACACCCGGAATGTCACCGAGCCCGTGAAGACCCTGGAGGAGCACTCCCACTGGTAGAGTGACTCATTTGCATGCTGCTTTAGGGAAGAGGGGATTATGTAATTTATTTTGCTAATTACTTTACCATTTGGAAAGGCACAAACCAGCTTAGTTTGTGCTGCTGTGAATCATTCAATCAACCCGGTTTTATTTTTCCTAAAGAAACGCTAATTCCAAATCTGAATGTTTGTGATTTATAAGCATAGGAAAAGAAGAAAAACATTGGATTCTGTTTTCTCTTGAAACAGTGCCGGTTCAAGTACGCAAAAATAAATGTGCACAGATGTTCACGCAGCATTGTTTGCAATGCATGGAAACTGGAAGCCACCCAAATGTCCATCAACAGGGGATTGGTTAAGTAAATTAGGTGACATCCATGCAGAGGAGATTATGCAGCTGTCAGGAAGGATGAGGAATACGTGGATGTGTGTGGATGTGGAAGGATGCCCAAGACCATTCATTCTCTCTAAAATGTTATTTAAATGTTTACCATATGCTAAGTGAGTAAAAAGATGAAGCTGTAGAGTAGTATGTATAGTATGAACCTATGTTTTTATTTAAGTCATGCTTGTGTGTGCATGCATGTGTGTGTGTGTGTGTGTGCGCGTGAGTGCGCGCACGCATGCTCGCATAGGTATGGGGAGGAAAAGCCCTGGGGAGCAACAGCCACACTCTCATCAAGAATCCTCCCCAGACAAGGAGGAGCCCCTCCCGGGCTTTCCCTTCCTGTGGCCTCTGGATCTGTGAATTGCTTGTCAGGAACTGTGCTGCTTCTGTAATGAGAACAGGAGTACTCTGTACACTTCTGATAAATTGCTGAATGGCTGTAATTTGCTGCAGCCCGACCAGAAAGCCTAGCTATGCTTACTGCTCCAGGAGCACCTCTGTGTGTGACGTCTGCCATACCCCCTTGCTGCCCAGGTCACCCAGCTGACCAGTTCCCAGGGCCCACATCAGAAGGAAGTGGCCATGGTATCAGACCCAAGTTAGCGTTCCTGGCTCTTGGGAGTGCCTTGACTAGGTAGAAATTGTGGGGCTTTGTTTGATGTTAAAGATCTGTGGGCTGCTTCTGAGGAGGCAGTTTGTTTTAAAATTTAGCAAGCTGTCTGGAATATTGAGCGTAAGCCTTTTCCCCCATGCAGGTGAGCTGACATTTAGTCTCTGGTCTCTCTCTGTTTGTTGGGACCTAAAAGAATATTTTAGAGCAACATATAGGAGAGCCAAACTCCCTGTTGAAAAGCCTCTAGCTTTAGCCTAAGGTTGGAGATCAATTACCCAGCACCACCACATGTGGTCCCCATCCAGTAAAGTCAGGGCCATTCATGCATGTGTGGATATTACCCATTTAACCGTCTGTCTCAGCAGCCTTCTGGCCCTTTGCAGGGTGTGGAGTGTCCGCTACAATCACTCTCATGACCAGCTGGTCCTCACTGGCAGCAGTGACAGCAGAGTCATCCTGTCCAACATGGTGTCCATCTCCTCGGAGCCCTTCGGTCACCTGGTAGACGACGACGACATCAGTGACACAGAAGAGCACCGTGCTGATGAGAAGTAAGGACCACAAACGGCAGGACTTTTTTGCTTAGAGATGACCTCTGGGTCCAAGAGGTTTCTGTGAAAAGCCTCCAATATTTTGTTAGGGGGACGTCCCCTTCCTCTATGTGGTTATGGGCAACAGAATGGGAGGTAAATGACACTGAGACAGGAGCAGCAGTGTGGGGCTCGGAGATGCTTCCAAAGTGGTGTTAAAATACTTGTTCCATGTATTTCTTCCTAAGGGCTGGGGGCATGGCTTAAGTGGTAGAGTGCCTGCCTAATTCAAATTCCAGTATCATGAAGAACAAAAAAGAACACATATTTCTTCCTGTTTCTGTATTCATGCTGATTGATTGCCACACACAAGATTTGAAGACCTTTGCTGTTCTCCAGACTGCAGCATTGATAATACTGTGAGCTAATACTCACTGGCCCTCAGAATATGTCTTGTGAGACTTTTTATTTTGCTTATTATGTTTGTTTTTTGTGTGTTGAACCATCTTTGTATCCCTGAAATGAAACCAACTTGATCATGGTGTATGATTGTTTTAATGTGTTGTTGAATTTGGTTTGCAAGTATTTTCTTGAGAATTTTTGTGTTTATGTTCATCAAGGAAATAATTTTTTGTCATATTCTTATCAGGTTTGGGTATCAGAGTAATACTGGCCTCATAAGAATGAGTTTGGTAGCATTCCTTCCATTTCTACTTTATAATATGGGTCAAGAAGCATTGGTGTTAGTTCTTCTTTGAAGGTCTACTAGAATTCAGCAGTGAATCCATCTGGTCCTGGGCTTTTGTTTGTTGGGAGACTCTTTATTGCTGCTTTAGTCTCTTTGCTTGTTATAGATCTGATGAAGTTATTTACATCCTCTTGGTTTACTTTGGTAGGTCATATGCATATAGAAATTTATCCATTTCTTCTAGATTTTATAGTTTATTAGCATATAGCCTTTTGGAATATTATGTAACGATCTTCTGGATTTCACTGGTGTTTGCTGTGGCAGCTCCTCTTTCATCTCTAATTTCATATCTATTTATTTGGTGATACTGGGGCTTGAGCTCAGGGCTCTATCTTTGGAGCCACCCATCCAGCACTCTCCTTTTATTAATTGGAGCCTTTCCCTCTTTATTTTGGTTAGTTTGCAGAAAGGTTTGTCTTTGTTTCATTGAGGAGTGTTCCTTGTAGGCAACAAATGTTCAGGTCTTGTTTTTTAATCCAATTTGCCACTG